ATTAGCGTTTGAATCCGACGGTTGAGTCCGAGAACCACGGCCACGATACGTCGCAGGGCGAAACGCACGAGGATCGTGCTGTCAAGTCACGATCGCCACGATCCAATGTCTTAGCTGGGAAGCACGAGGCTCTATCAGCAGACACGTGGCTCATCTCCCGTCAGATCCGGTTCCGCCTACAAAAGGAAGGGTTTCGCCTGCAAATACTGGGCATAACCCCACGAGTCGCGCGAAAATTGGCTCTCAAAAACTAATTTCGCCTTGACGATGCATTCGCCCTCAAAGGTAAAATTACGAACAAAGCCAAAAGAATGACCTTGCTTAAACGGTTGAAACCCACGCCCCAGATGGCTAAGGGTTAGAGCAGAAATCTTAGCATTAAGCCTAAGAGAAACTGTTCGACAACTCATCATACTGAGGAGAATAGTATGGCTAGCCCGATTCAAACGGTAATCGGTAAAGGCACATCAAACCCGTTGATAGCTGAGGATTTGCTAAAAATCCTAAGAGAAATCGAAGGCACTTGCTTCGCCAACAATTTCTTCATTCAAAGTATTCCAGACCACACGCAAGCCAGTTTAGGTCTGAAAACTTTGAAGGGGGTCTTGTAGACGGTAAAAAATACCTCTATGGGTCTACAGGAAATTTGCCTACGAGAAGAGTTCGCACGCCCAGTTCTCTGGCACGGACCTAAACCGCGTAGACGTCGACTGTACTCAAGTCCAGGTTCGCCTAACGGTCGACTCGCCAGCATGAGTCAGGGTCGATCAGGATGGCGGAAATTCGCTCTTCGCTCAACTCGCCTGCCCGAGTTCGGAGTCGAATCCGCCAGCAAGCCCCAAAACCGTCAGTACAGCTGGGTATCCACTACCCCACGTGCTGAGATGGACCTTCCCATCTCTCTCGACCTGAAGGGAGAGAGAGCACAGTACCCCAGGACCGTCAAACGGCCGCTCGCAGTGCGCACAGCACGAAAGGACTGGACAGGTGTCGAGTCAACCTGAGCATTCATAAATGCGACTCACCTCGGCTGTCTGAGTCTGGAGGTGGATCCGCCGGCACTCGGCAAGCTGGCTAGACCCACTCGAGTACTGTACACCTACTTCACCGCCTCTCCTGACCGGAAAGGAGAAAGCGTCGTGCTCAAAGCACGCCGGGCGGTCACGCACAGTACAAGTGATCGGACAGACACTTCATCGATCTGCGAACTCATAAATGCGGTTCATTAATGCTGGTCAAATCCACTCGGATAGCAGTCGTTTGTTGCCTCACATACAAGAATGGGCCTTCCCATCGTAGGTGACAGGACATAGAGCACAATCCCTGGAATGACCGTTCATGGTATCGAGGAACGGCGAGACGTCTCTGAAGAGGATGTGGTCACATCCCACAATTCAAGGAGAAGTCAAGCTGTCCTTCTTTCATTTAAAAACCCCTTCCAGCACGATGGAAGAGAGGTCGCAAAACTTGGAGAAAAAAGAGTTGAGACCAAGCTGTTAGCAAATCCTTGCATTACAGCACCTCTGCCTAGTTCTGGGCTCCGATCGCCGACGAACCAAGCAGACCCGAACTCCATTGCCCCGAGCTTCTACTGCGAACTGAAGCTCTCCAGCAACCTCATTCAAACGGTCCAAGGGAAGCAGACTCGACCCGAGCATCGAGCGAAGCGTCCTATAGCCACCTAAAGTCCCCACACAAAACAAAGAGGGCCTTCCCTCTGCTTCTGTTGTAAACATTTGATTTGTTAGTTTGTAATAAGCTTTCTTATAAATACAAACGAAACTCCTTCCTTCGGAAGAATCAAATTTTCACCCTACAGGGACATGTAAAGGTAAACAATGAAATTCATTTTTATTAAAAACAACATTTCTACTTATCACTACCTTAAACCCCGGTTCACTCTTATCCCAAAGCCTATAACCTTTTACCCCTTCAGGATATCCTAGGAAAACATATTTCTTAGATCTAGGTTCTAACTTATCAATCTTTTGATGCACATAGCCAGTACTCCCCAAAATTCTCAAATTATTTAAATCAAGAGGTTTGTCCGTGAACACAAATTCAGGGCATTTCCCTCCTAAGGGAACAGAAGGAGACATATTAATTAAATAGGTCGCAGTACAAATAGCTTCTCCCCAGAACTTCTTAGAGAGCCCAGATGTGGCCAACATAGCTCTCACCCTCTCTAAGAGAGTTATATTCATCCTTTCAGCAACTCCATTTTGCTGGGGTGTGCAGGGAACAGATTTATGCCTTTTAATACCCCAAGTAGCACACAAATCATTCAATTGTTTGTTACAAAACTCAAGACCATTGTCTGTCCTAAGAGTTTTAATTTTCTTTTCCGTTTGGTTTTTAATCATATTTTTCTAGTTTTTAAATTTATCAAAAACTTTAGATTTTTGTTTCATGAGTAAAACCTAAACTTTCCTAGAATAATCATCAATTATGGAAAGAAAATATTGGTTCCCTCCATGCGTAGGAACACTAGAGGGACCCTATACATCGGCATGCAAATATTCAAGTATATTAGTGCACTTAGACTGATTAGGAAAAGCAGAAGTAGGAAAACTAACCCTATGTTGTTTTCCTAGCACACAAGATTCACAGAAAGGGATGGTGGATATTTTATCACTACCAAAGTGATCTCCTTTATGCAAAATTTCTAATCCTTTGTTACTCATATGACCTAATCTATTATGCCATAAAACAGATTTATCACCTATCACAAAGTTAACAGAATCAAGCACATGTTAAGCATGACAAACATACAAGTTATTTTGTTTTTCAGCAGTAAAAGTAACAAGAGATTCTTTCAAAATTTTCATACCCCTTTGCTAGTAGGAAATAAGCTTATATATATACCCAGATGAGAGAGGTAAATATGTAACTGTGACCGAGTCCAGGCAGGCAGCTGACTCGGCAGAAGTTGACAAGTGTCGGCTGTGGGTGGCATTGATCATCCAGGTGGTTAGTGCAAAGCGATAACAGCTCCTTAGTGTTGATTGGGTATGATGAGTCATGAAGACTATGTGACTAGAGTAGTGATGACTTTGACCGTGCATTTAATGTGATGATGATTGGCTATCGGTGGAGGCTTCGAGGATACACCGCCTCTCTAGTCGTCCGACTAAAGACCAATAAACACCGCCTTTTTAGTCGGTTACGCAAGCTGTTGGCTGATATAGCGGACCGAGTAGGGTGCTCATAGGATTGATCTAGTTGGTAGACCGAGAAGTACCGACTTTTTTTAGTCGGCCACGTAAGTTATCGGCATATGGAGTCGACCACAGGAGTGGATCGAGTTGTTTGGGCTCTAATCATGTCTGATCTGGCATGGTGCAGGATCCCTATCAACTGCATATGCGATGAGTCATCCTTGATTGGATGTGATGGAGATTGAGGAGGTATGAGGGGTGATGAGTCATAGAGACTCGTGGAACTCACAATTATGAAGATAGTAGCTGTCGTTACGGAGTTTGAGGTCAAACCACCTCTTGACTCGGCTCTGCGAGAGGGACAACAAGTATTGCCTCTCTAGTCGGCGTCACAAGATGTTGGCCCAGCTCTGACTGAATGAGGGTGGTCGACTCGATTGATGAGATCGAGTGGGAGCTGATCTAGAGGAGTCGAGTGTCCAGACTACCCGAGTCGATCCCTTGGTGAGGGTGAGCTGGCGTGATTGATTAATGCTAACATGGGACACATGTCTACTCCAAGAAGAAAACTAACACTTGTTATTTTGCAACCTATAACATTAGCCATTCGATAATTCATCATGAACATTTATTCGATAATTCGTCATGAACATTTATTACCTTAGCTGGATAGGGGTTTTGCTTCCAAAATTGGTGCTCCTTGGTTTTAACTATAGGATTGGTACTTTTTCTTTTTCTTTTTCAATTTGTTGGTGATTTTTGCATATGCACCTTTCAAATCGTATATATTTGTAAATCTATCCTTTGTAGCATTACACTTGTTGAATTTCTCTATAAATTGTTTTTTTGGGTACAAGTTTACTCCTCCAATCAAATATACACTCCAAATGTCCTATAAATGTATGGCCGTTGTGCCGCTTGAAGAATCAAAAAGGTGATTGCTAAATCGAAGAGGGTCTAGCTGACTACGACTCTCTTGGAAAATACTCGTAGGAAATTAATTGCTTAAAATACCCGAGTTTGTGCGCCGGGGCTGCCTCTTAGCTACGTCCGAGGGTTTAATACCGACAGTCCGAAGGATCATGGCCACGTTACCCCTTCAAAAAAGTGGGGAAAAAAGAGGACTAATGGGTAGGACTGAAGCAGATACTCCGAATGCATGCGTGCGCTTGGATCTTCACCTCACCCGCGGTATGTATGTATACTCGCAAATGTTTACCCAATGTGTGTGTCTTTGATCTACATACGTGGCTCAGATGAAAAGGCTATCAGGCAACTGATTATTTAGATGAAATAATAGAGTTTTTCCTATGAAAAGAGGGCCGTGTGGGTAGTTAAATTTATTGCGAGGGTAAATTACGCTAAACTGCCCAGCAACTTTTTCTATTTTTAAGAAAATTGTTTCGTGGCCAAACACAGCCACGTATCCAAGGGCAAAATTTTAAAACAGACCTCTTTGTAAAAATATTCTAAAAGAAAATTTGTTTTAAAAATATTCGTAAAAAACAATTTAGTTTTAACCCCAGGGTTGAAACTAGGTCTTTTTTTACGAAAAATGTTCCCAAACTTCCCGGGAGTTTCCAAACTTTACGGGAGTTCCTAACATTTTTTTACGAAAAATGTTCCTAAACTTTAACTCCCGTGAAGTTTGGAAATATTTTTCCTAAAAACCGATCCAGTTTTAACACTTAGGCTAAAACTAGATCGTTTTTTAAAAATAAAGTGGAAACAGGTCTGTTTTCGGGAATATTTTTGCAAAGGGGTCTATTTTCAAAATTTGTCCCGTATCCGAATCCAGAATTAAGGAAGGGGGGAAGAGAGAGAGAGGGAGAGAGGGGGGCGATGNCAACGGCGGGATTCGCAGCGGCGGTGGCATCTTCTTGGCCCGATCCTTCCCTCAGCAAACTCCCGCCTCGTCTTCCTCTATCGTCGAACTTGAAACCTTGGGCCACGAAAGTTGCTGCTCAAACCTCCACCAGGCGTTTCAATTTGGATCGCTCCTCTAAATTGAGGCCTCAGGATTTGTGGGAAGACCCCGACCGATGCGGCGACAGCTTCGATGACGACGAAGACGGCGACGATGAGGACGGAACCGCCGAAACATCGGCCTCCGAGAATGACGAGCTAGTTAAAAAAGGTTGTTTTCGCCCTGCGTTCCAGCTGTTTGTTTAAATGCCGCAGCCAAAATTTTCAATCCGTCTTATTTTGGAAAAGTCTGTGTCAATCAACATTTTTTTCAAGTTTTGTTGCGCTCTGTTGGCGCTGCCATAGCTGCTGGATAAACCTCTTGGAGAATCATGGTTTGCCAGGGACGGCTCCATTTTCCCCCCCTATGGAAGCACATATACAATTATACATATGAAGTAGTAACTTATCTAACAGAACTTATGGGAATAGAAAAAACCTATCATGCAATAACCAAAAAGATATGAACACACAAATATTTGAATATCACTTTCATATCAATACATGATCATTTTCATTTCCACCGTGAAAACTATCAAAAAGAACTACTAATTCCAATAGTAGTCCTTCATAATTGTATGTGGTTGCCAATTTTACGGGGGCACAGACATAAATCGCATGGGGGGCACATATATAAATTTCTATATCTCGTGGTGAGTGGTTTAAAATTGTATGGGGGAAAGTGTCCCCATAATTCAGTACATGAATCCGTCCATGTGTGTCGCTGTTTTGAACTTATTACCCTTTTAGTTCTTCGTTGCAGATAGACCCTCTGACTTAAATTTTTTAGACTCTTTCAGTCTCACTTAGAGTCACTAATTTCACCCAAAGGCGATGTCTGCAAGAATTTCATCCGGGGTAAAAGAGCCCCGCAAAAAAAAGGCTGTGCGTCTATCTGCAACAATGAAACTGCAGGGTAATACGTTCAAAACAGTGATACTATGGGGGGTATATGGGCAAGTGCAATAAACCCTTCATTATAATTATTGTTTATTGTTATTATTCCTGCTACTGTCTAGAGCTAGGGTTATCATATTATTCATAAGGAGTAGGTAAACATGTGTTGTAGTATTGATGTTGTTGACTCAAGAAATTAAAATCTAACACAGTAGATATATGACTAATATATAGATACAAAGGAAATTTTATTTTAGTGCATAAATCTTCGAAAAGTAACAATTTCAAACAAATTAGAAAAGAAGTTGAGTTTGTAGTTGTCGAATCCATGGATATTGAGATACAGAACATTCCACATGCAATATTTCAGACTGGCTTTTGCGTCCTCGAGTCTAAGCCTGTTGTTTCTTTAACTCCTGCCCTTTACATGCTGTCTTTTGAATGAAGTTTATCATAAATTTTTTGTTTAACATTTGGTTGCAACTACAGCGTATCACTGATTATTCTCCAAGATTGGCTGTTGTTTATCTCTCAGTTTATCCTTGCTATTTAAATTCTAACGATTCATTTGATTGTTATAGAAGTTGAAGACCTGCTATCCCCTGAAGAAAGGGCGATTTTTCAAGAGAACAAGACTCCTGTTCTTTCCAAAATATCAACTGTTAAGTGTTTCGAGTGTACAAGTGTTTCTTCATTTTAATAGTGCAGGGCGCATAAGTTTCAAACCTCGTTTCTAGTGCTTTGTGTTGGGAAGTGTATAGCAATAATCTTTTTTGCAATCAAGATGATATACATCTGGTCAAGATGATATACTCCTGTTTCTTCATTTTAATAGCGCAGGGTGCTTAAGTGTCAAACCTCGCTTTTAGTGTTTTTATGTTGGGAAGTGTATAACAATAATATTATCTTAACACATTTTTCCTACTGCAGATGATGTGGAGCCCATTTCATACTTTGACACTAGCAGGCCAGATTCCGTACATGGATCAAATGATTGAACTTGGTACTGATATTGATTCTGTTGACAAGGTACTTCTACATGTATTGTAATAGCCGCAGATCATGCCTCTAGCTTCTCTTATCTAAAGAATGAAACTTGAGGAATTTGTATGACACAGGATGGTTTAACTGCTCTCCATAGAGCAGTGATTGGCAAAAAGGAGGCTGTTATCAGCCATCTTTTAAGGAAAGGGGCAAATCCTCATGTCAAAGATAAGGTCAGGACATTTCTGCTTTCAGGCTTGCATCCTGTTTGTATTTTATATAGGGTAATGGCGGATAGGCCCCCAGTACTATCGCGCAATTGCGGATGGACCCCTGTATTTCTATTGTTACAAATAGCCCCCCTGAGTAAATTTTTTTTGACTTGTTTACCCTCAGGAGGTCTTTTTTGTCAAAAAACATTTTTCTTTTTCTGAGGGTAAAAGACTCAAAAGAAATTTCACTGATGGGGTCTATCTCCAACAATAGAGCTACAAGGGGTCTATCCTTAACTGGGTGTTAGTATAGGGGTCTATCCGCAATTAACCCTTTTTTATATACTTTTTTCAGTAATGTTTTCATCCGTGTATCAGGATGGTGCCACTCCTCTACATTATGCAGTTCAAGTGGGTGCCATGCAAACTGTGAAGTTGCTGATCAAATATGGAGTTGATGTAAATATTGCAGATAAAGTGAGTAACATGTAAGTTGCAATAGTTTCCTTTCCATCAAGTTATTTGGATTCACTGAATTACTTGCATTTATTACATACAGGATGGATGGACTCCGTTGCACGTTGCTATGCAAAGTCGATCTAGAGACATAGCAAAAGTATTGTTGGTAAATGGTGCTGACAAGACAAGGAAGAATAAGGTAATAACTGTAGAACTTGCATTCAGCTGATGGTTCTGATATTTGGGTTTTATTTTGATTTGTAACTGTTGACCAACTGAAAATGTTGTATTATCTACAATTCAATCATTTCCTGCGTACTTGGACCCACATTGATAATTCTAGTGGTCTTTGCTAACTTCTACGTTGAGAAACTGCCCTTCACAAGTGTCATACTTCAAGTCCGCAATTCCAAACATGAAACCATATGTATGTGTGGATCTTCTTTGATATATGCATATTTAGGTTATATAAAGGTACATTAGATTTTTCTTTATGTTCAGAAATCTAAAACGGTAAAAGAACCTATAAGACAACGATGGGAGGCGGGCTTATTGAGGGGCGCGCCCCGGCCGCGGGGCGCTTCGGCTTGGGGGAAATGCGCCCCGCACGCGAGGCGGGGCGCCTCACGTGCGCCTCACGTGCGCCTCGCGCGCGCCTCGCTCGCGCCTCGCATGCGCCTCGCGCGCGCCTCGCACCTGCGTTATGTAACATACTTTTTCTTCTATTTTTTAAAATAATTTACATAATTATATATTTATATCATGTAATATACTCTTTCTTACTAGTTGCTAATCTATTTTTATCTTTTCATGTTTAACCTATAAAAAAGAAACAATAATTAGTAATTTAGTATACTTGTTTGCTAATTATAACTTCCTTCTCTAATTAGCATGCTAACTAGCAAATTATGAACATGTAAATATGTAATTGTTACATTTATTCTTTATCTTTTCATGCTAAGTAGCAAATATCAAATAAGAATACTAACTAGAAAATTATGAACAATCATGTTTGTTAATTATATTTCTTAGTCTTTTTATGTGATAATTTATAAACATATGCTCATAATTGTTAATCACTTAATTTGATGATTTAAATACATGTTTCTTGTATCTTTTTTGTTACTTTAAAAATTCAGTTAGCATAATTTGATGATTTAAGTTGATATTCTCATAATTTTGGATGTAGGTAACTAATATGTTGCTTATATGTTTCTGTCTTATGATGTTGATAAATATTAGTTTGAGTTATGCGCCTCAATCGCCTCGTTGTGCGCCTGGCGCATGGTGCGCGTAAGGGACCTTTGCGTCCCGCATTGCGCCTTGCGCCTCGATAACACTAATGGGAGCATAATATATGTCAACACGTACATGTCTAGCTGAATAGTAGTTTATATGTTTGCATGTCCCAAACACAGATAAACAAGTATTTTGTTATGTCAAGTGTGGCCTACATGGCAATTCTTGGTCAGAGGAAATGTCTTATGAGAAACTTTAGTCTTCAACATAGACATCCTTTTGTTATCAACTTTTTCTATCAAGTTCATCCTTCATTGGTTACTACAAATAAAAACATGATAATACTCTTGAACTAGCAACTAAACTTGTTGAAATTTTGTAATTGAATGTAGCCCTTGCTACTCAATTGAGAACCAAAATAGTAATGAATTCAACTTTTATGATTACGTAGCTGATGTTTAGTGCATGAAATATAGACCCTGGTTAACCAACAATTAGAGCTATTCAGCCCTACCTTTCTGAATTGGAAAGAAATACTTCATTGAAGCTACAGCCTTTTTATATCCCAACTCGAGAGCCTTACCACCTGAACTAGACTTGGGAAAGTTTTTTTTGTCCGATAGCTCTCAAGTAGAGATATCCAAATATAAAGCAAGGCTCTACACATGCTTTTCATTTTTTGTTTCGAAATCAGTATATGGACGTCTGGCACACTTGGATTACCGTACGCCTGCCATTGATAATGAGTACGAGTTTCAAGAGATCTACATTGTAGATTCCTTTCCTAAAATGCTCATTTATTAAGGGGAACTAATGTATTCTTCTGCCTTGTAACCTGAGTTCAACATCCACTATTTAGAAGAAAAATGTTTACTACCTAGAAGAAAAATGCATGTTTTAACCAGTCACGTCTAATTTCTAATAATGCAGCAATAGCCAACACATTGTTTATCTGCAGCACATTGTGATCGTTCTGTATTTTAAGCTAAACAATTTAATGCGGTAAGGCTTATCCTTGAATGCAATTTCCCTATTCTTGAAAAAGCATCAGTGGAGCCTCTCAAATGTATATGTTGTAAATAGTTTTAAATTGTTTTGTACTGAAATGAACAAAGTGCTCTTTCCTTCCTGCCTTACATTTTCGTTTTTGTTGGTTTTAGGATGGGAAAATACCACTGGATCTAAGCTTATGCTATGGAAAGGATTTCAAATCATATGAGCTTGCCAAGCTTCTCAAACTTGTTCCAGCAAATAGAGATCTGTGAAAACTTGCTATAAAGTTTTGATACAGCTCAGGTAAAGTTTACATGTATACTTGTTAATTCCGTAACAATCCATTTGACGATTTTTTATCCTTTTTTGTGCTATGTTGGAGGTCTTATGTTCCCACCATAGTTTTGTCATTTGCTCTGAAGAGAGTGGAGATCTCAGTCCTTCAAACTAATCCTTCGTCCGAAAATCTTTCAAGAGCCTAGTTATTAGATTTTGAGATGTTCATTGTACATTAGTTTTTAAAATATACGAGCTTATATAACTATACTAAATGATCATTCGCTTGCTACATCAGGATGCTTTCCTGTCTTTCTGTTTGTTCTCACTTCAAACACAGTATGCTGTTTTCTAATGGTGCTGCAAGAGAATTCAGAGTGTTCAAGGCTCTTTTACTGGTTTGCATGTAATATGATTAACGCATAACCTACATATTATCTAGCCAATAAAAAAACTAATGAGCTCTGCGGACCTTGGCAAAGCTATTCTCAGTTATCAACTAATAGCATTTGGTTGGGAGGTTTAATGATCCTTGACAAACATTTATGTATTTAAGCATCTCATTTCATTCACATATGAGTATAATTACTAAATGAGGTAGATCATATAGAAGGGTTAATTACAGAAAACCCTGCTGAAGTTTAGGGGAGTTCCACTAAACCCCCCTCAACTTTTTTATTCTTGCACTAAACCCCCGCTTTACCTTTTTTATTCCACTCCTTAAATTAAGTCTCTAACCATTAGACCAGAACTAGAACTCCGAAGTTATGATGAGAATCGAGAATTATAGTTTTGTATTGGTTTTAACATGCCTCCGACGCCCGTAGCTTGAGTGCCCTTCCCTTTTATGGGTCGAAACCTGTACTCATGCAGCGGTGTCAATTTTTAGAAAAGTATGCTTTAATTTGTGGCTGGTGAAATTTGAACCTAGGTTGGATGGTTACTATTTTAAATTAAATCTCTCTAACCATTACACCAAAACTTCAAGGTTATGGTGAGCATCAAGGATCATAGTTTTGTATTGATTTTAATACAACTAAACCCCCACGAACTTTAGGAGTTATTACACATAACTCCCTTGAACTCTTTTTTTTCTACTAAATCTTACTTGAATTATTTTATCCTCAATTAGCATCATCTACTCTTAGATAAGATATTTCGTTCTTAGTCACTGAGTAAGCACATGCCCCAAAAAAAGAAGAAAATTCGTTCTTAGTCGTAAAATATATCCTTCTATTAAAAAGGAAAAATAGGTAACTATTTGCGACTATGGAATTATTTTCATCTTTTTCTTAGTGTATCATTCCCATGAGTTAGAATTGACATGCTAATTTGGAGATCGGTGAGAAATTTGCATGTGAAATTTAGTGGAATGAAGGAGTTTAGGACGGTTATGCACAATAACTCCTAAAGTTTAGGGGGTTAGTGGAATAAAAAAGTTGAGGGGGACTTTAGTGGAACTCCCCATGGTTCAGGGGTTTTTTTGTAATTAACCCTATATAAAAGTATGTTAAAAGGATGGACAAATTTTCAAAATAGACCCCTTTAGAAACTTATTTTCAAAAAACCATTTTGAAAATATTCGTCATTTTCGACCCTGTTTCAGCCACCTGACTGAATCTGGGTTGAAAATGACGAAAAAACATCGAAAACTTCACGCGATTTAAAATCCCGTGAAGTTTTAGGCTTAATTAGAGTAAGGGTTAGTGGGGGTAAGTGGGAAGCCACATCTTCACGGGATTTCAAATCCCGCGAAGATGAAACTTAATAGGATTACATATCCGGTGAAGTTGCAGGAGCCAACTCCAAAGAGCGACGACTCTCTGGCAATTGGGCTTGCAACTTCACGAGATTTGAAATCTCGTGGAGTTGCAGGTTCCCTAAAACATGCACAGAATGTGTGCATGTTCGCCTAATGAGCTTGTAAATTTCACAGTTCATAACTTATTGTATATAATAAAATTTTCGCCTCATTCACAACAATATACATGAAAATCCAACCATAAACATCAAATTTACGGCATATATACTAAATTACAATAATATTCATAAAATTCAACCATGAATCAAAACAATACACACGAAAATCACATATATAAACAAAACTCGATCCGCACAAGCAACAAATTTGAACAATCTAACCATATACATTCTTGAAATTCATAATCATACTGTAAATTTCACATAAATCCTAAAAGTCCTCCCCTCCTTCCTCTCCCTCTCTTACCTCTTCCCCTCACTCTTCCCCCCGTCCTCACCCTCTTTGTCCATGCTGATGAGCCTCGATGATCTGAGTATCTAGTTGTGTATGAGGCTAAGAAGTGTCGGCTCCATCAGCATGTGCCGCATTATGAGAAGTGTTGGCTCCATTGTCACGTGCCGCCCTTTGACCTGTCCTCACGTCCTTCAAACTCGTCAACATGATTTTTATGGAACACATTTGTTATTCTCTGTCTGATCCTATTGAAGATCCCTAACACTGTCAGATCCTCAATCTCATTAATATGCTCATTTATATCAGCCTCAATCTCATCAAAAATATTGATCTGTGGTTTAATCAATATATACACAACTTAGCAAATAATATCTTGACAAAAAAGAATTATCGTTTTAATTTAGTTTAAAAACTTACATAATCCCTCTCGATCATAGCACTATGGATGTAGCTATCTATCGGTGGGCGTGGTACGCATCCAGCTACTAGCTGTGAGTCGTGTCTTATCCATCTGCGTGTGATATTCCAATACCAATGCATATATGCAATAACCATTTGTTGGAATTTTCTCATTCTGTATGAAATTTCATCTATTATTCCACTTGTCTATGTAGGCCGTACGGCCCGTACGGAATATGGCTCAGTCCATACGATGCAATGTCATATGTCGTCTACGATCGATTTGCTTAACAGGATCCGACACATGTTGAGAAAGAAGAAATTACCGTAATATATGATTTGGGATATGCATCTCTACAATCTCTCAACATATCAACAGGACTCTAGCTCTCCATAAAGCAGCGTTATCTCTACAAATAGATGCAAGGGTATGCATATTGAGATCTGGCGAAGAATAGAGCGTCCACTTGATTTGAAATTAAAAAAAATTTATCAGCATATACAGAAAAATTAAAATATAAATAATGAATTGAGTTTTATATTTACATGAGGCCATCAAGCTCATTTCTGTAAAACTCTATATATCTAGTCGTGATTTTGTATTTAGAGTACCTCACGTTATACCTATTTGGCATAAAAATATATAAGCACAAATTCAATATGAATAAAATTAGGCAAGATAAATAATCTTAAATTTACACATAATTATACCTGCATCTTAAAGGAAACTGGTCCTGTAGATCGCGGTGCACATGCAAAATAGGTCGTCCAATATGAATGTGTTTCCATGACCAAACCTGCGGTAATGTCATGCACCCCTTGAATTCTTTATTCTGCATTAAGGAGACCATGCTTAGTTCTTTATAAATGTATGCTAAGACCGTACTACCCCATGATAGAGTGTCGTATACATCAAAATCCTCGAGCAGTAGCAGCCATCGTGCATGTACAAGATTCTTGCTCGCATTAGGAAATGACATACCCCCTATCATGTGCAATATATAAGCACGAGCATAATACTAAATCGTCTCATCCGTGGCGTCAACCGATAGATCTCCCATAAATGTTGATCGAAGCCACAATAACTTCATCGCACCACTCCTCAAATCGGGAACCTGCCCAAAAAGCCTCTCATATACTTCGGCCCAATTATGGTCATCGATGTCCGTAACAACCAGGTCATCAATGCGGAGCCAAAGTATGACGGGTACGTTCTGAAGTGTAATGGTACATTCTCCTATATGCATATGAAAGATGTTGGTCTGCGGTCTCCACCTCTCAATCAGGGCATTGATAACGGCCCAGACAAGCCTAATATATCTCATCGATGAACACTCCCAAAACCCAGCCTGAGCTACCAACTGTAGTACTCAATTACCCTCCATCTCCCAGCTCAGATGACTGGGAATGGTCCACTATGCTGATTTCTACTACGGACTGCACATTAATCAAAATTGAGAAAAAATAGAATCAAAAATTAAAACTAACGCCAAAAAATAAAAAAAAATATACAATATTTTTTATTTGTCCTAAGCCAATCTTGTGTGAACGATGATCTGTCTGAAGGTATAATACGTCGGACTGCATCAGTCCTGGATCCATAATGGAAATCTCTGCAATTAAAATACAATATGTTAGATTTTTCCGTTGAATGACTTAATTATATGTATTCAATATTCAACATTAAGTAAAGAATACATCCAGCATAGAAAAGAAAAGTAGGAATAAAACATGCCATAATCATTATCACATATTCAAGATTAAAAATAAAATGTTATACATTACAAAAATCATAAGTGATATATTTTATACAATTAAGCCCCAAATAAGCAACGCCTAGGCCTAGTTGGATAACTGCTTTTGTTGTGGCCCGGTTGATCGCACCTACTACACTTATTTTTCCTCCTAATTCTTTCTTGACCATCATCCATATTATTTCTAATTCGTATGGAACGAGATCACCCAGCTGATCTTTTATACACAGGAGGTAATATCCATGGTTTGCCTTGTGTCCAATGTCGACTATCGTATGGTGGACGAAAACACTCTTTGTACGTTTATGGGTAGTTATAAGTTGTTACCAATCTGCGGCGAATGTATAGTGTGATATCCTTGCACTCCCCTGTAGATCTGAATAAGCTGCTACAACATGAGAACAAGGAAGCCATTGTAATTGCGGTATATTGCAAGTGCATGTACAAATTTGATCCACTAGCTTTGTAAGAGCAATTTTCTCTATATGATATTCCCTCAATGATCTCCCATACATTAAAATTGTATCTAACGACATGAAATGATCGAGCTTGCACAATCCGATCCGCTAATATGCCTTCAACTTTAGGTGTCAACTCCGACGGAATATTTGCTCTAAGTGTGTATCGTCTAAGGAAGAATTTATTAAGTCTGTAAAATATTTTTACAACTAATGACTATATTGACATACCGTGTGCTCCCCTAAGCACACCATTGAAACTCTCAAAAGCGCTAGTGGTCATCATACAAAATCATTTCCCGCCATGTTCACATAAGGTCCATCTATCGACATTGTTCAGAACCAAACTAGTCTCGATCCAATCATGTGTATCTTGTGAAATAGACTTAATCTTCTCTCGTAGCTGCTCACAAACTAATTTTTCTATTGCACATCCAGCTTGCCAAAGAAGATATTGAAGATG